CGAAAAGTGCAATTCGTCCCCATAGCGGGAAACGCATGATTGTACACAATACGATGATGCACGACGACACGTGCGACGATCGAAGATCAACTGAAAACATATTTAGCTGAGCGTTATCGACTATAGCGATGTCCAATCGGATCGCGTAATCGTGTTGATCTCCACTGGCACTTCGGGGTTCGACCTAACTTTTCAGGCACACAACCGCTCAGCACTGTATGATAAGTTATCGTGTTATATGTTTACGGTTAATTAAAAAAAAAAAAACATAAACGGTCCATTATTATTATTACAGCAGTTAAGTAGAAATGCGTGGAACAATTAAACGCGGGTAAGGGTGCGCGTGGTCGAACCGTTCCTTCGGAGTTACGGAAACGCTGCAGGTGCACCGTTGCACCGCTTTCGGACGATTACGACGTGAACCGAAATACGCGCGCGCGCGCCGTCGTTTTCGATTATTTTTAAGACGAAACGGAAAACGAACAACAATAATAATAATTACATCAACTCGACGCGTGCAGGAGTGGTAATGGAACGAATACGATAATCGGTACTACAAGAGTCGCTCTCTCGTATATTTATATACGTAGATGCGCGTCACGATGCACGCTGGACCGCGACTTGGTGCACGCGCAAAACCAAACGACGAGAATTCAATGCTTAAAATTTCAACAAAAAAAAACATCTCGGCGATCGAGTTCGTCTCGTTCGGTAATTTCGCATGATTTCGCGCGGTCCAATTATACCATGTTTAAAGTGTTATGTTCGTTTCTTTTATCTATAATTTATATAATAATAATAATAATATTAACGTGATGAAAAAAAAAAAAATAAAATAATGTACAGTAATAATAAAGACCCTCTGGTGAGATACAATAAAACGGATTACATCATGTCGTCCGGAACTTCTCATGTTACCGTATTCACACACAGGGGATGCCAACGATCGCCCACGAAGCTCGTTTATCGTCGACTACATCGAGGCGGACAACGAAAACAAGTTAAGAGGCTTCTATTTTAGAGGGGAAAAAAACTAGTTTTTCACCTCCGCGCCGTAATGAATGGTCTTCTTATTAGACTTCGCGCCTGTTTTTTACTTTATTAAATTTTTCGAAACGAATCGCCGCCGCCGCATTACGGGGCCGCAGACAAAAGACTCCGTCGTGTCGTGTACAAATATAATAATATTATAATATACATATTTTACACGCGACACACGTGAAACATTACGGGGATTAGTCAGGTTGACGGATCGGTTATTTTTTTCGTTTCATTTATTTTATTACGAGGAGACCTCATGGCCGTCGCGCGCGGCGTTATAATACGCCGATAAGTTTATATTTTCATGTTTTGTTTTTTCTCCCCTCCGAATCGGTCGCATATATAACAATTATTATTAGGATTATTGTCATTATACCCACGTGGAAAGTTATCGCTGCCGACGCCTTAGTCGTTGCGCACGAATGCGATCTGCTGCGGGAAAATTAGTTCGAAACGAGCACAACGAACCGATACACAAATAACCGTGTTGTTTTTGCTGCTGCAGAGATGAATCAAAAAACCACATATTGTATTTTTGTTTATTTTAATTTATTTTATTTTATTATTTTTTTTTTTTTAAATCAACATAATAAATATTAAAACACCATTTCATATAAATTTACAATCGAGAAATATTACTGTCATAATGTATACGTTTACACGTCTGTACACATTTAAACAAATATATAATGTATGCAATATATATATATATATATATATATATATATATGTATATAGAAAACAGTGATGTTCTACCACATAACACTTTGGTTTCAGCTAACATTATGTACAAAGTATATATATATATGTGTGTGTATATTTATATGATTTAAAAATTACTAAAATGTGGTACAAATAGTCAGCAACTAGAATTTATTATAAGTATTGTACAATAATAATATATAAGAAATAATTAATAATTATAATATACAGATAGCGAACGTTTTAATAACTTAAAAAATATATAGAATCACAGACATACATAGAAATAATATATATTATTCAATAATACAGTATACATTAAAAACGTAAAAAAAAAAAAAAAAAATTATAATAATAATAGTAGTAATATTAATATCGTCCACTCAACGTTTGTTTTATATAACGAGGGTTATACACGACAACTTATATGATATCGCGAGTGTATTATAAGTTTATATTATATTAAATTTGGTATCAAGATGAACATTGACGTTGATTCGTGTGCGCGTTGAGTATTCACATTAAGTGCAAGACGTTTTTTGTACAATATACATAGAAAGCAATTGTAAACCTACTGCAGTTTGAGTACAGATTCGTTTTCAAAGGTCATGTAGTGTAGTGTACAAATAAAGTGTATATATATATATTCATATATGTTTTTCGATCTTACGTAACATATTTTAACTCTGTCCTGCAGCTAAAAATATATGTCCGACTAGATTAAAGTTGGCAATAATAACAACCGTGTTATAAACGATACCTGACGGATCGCCCGTGCTTTTTTAAAAGAATAGGATAGCGGATTCGACGATTGTTGCTTTTCAAAACGAACCGAAATTCAACAAAGATTGCACAAACAAACAGTTGAGGTCTTTACAAGGGATGGATGGTTTAAAGATAATTTGATAAAGTTGATATAAAGTTATATATATTTATATATAGATAAAGTTGAATGCCACAATTGCGTTACCACGATCTCGGACACCGCAAGAACGTTCAAAGAAGACAAAGAAGAGGTCGGATTTCACTATGACGAAAATCTATTTTTCTAAGAGAAGATTTGTCTCAATCACTTGTATAACTATTATTTTAAGTTTGTTACATTGCTCAAGCACGATATTCCAAATTGTACCAAAAAAATAAAAAATAAAAAAATGATTACTTCATGAATATTTGGAAGATATGAAACATTAAAATCGGCCCGTTTTGACCCAAGTCAATAGCTGACACATAGATATGATTGAATTGAGAAAAATAAAAAAGCTAGTTCTTAACATTAGATACGGTAATGTCTCACTAGAAACGGTTGTTGAACCTCTCCCTAGAAAATGCGGACTGAGATTTTGATGCCTTTTCATAAGTTTCTTCAGCATAATAAATTGTTACTCTGTAAAATTGGAAACATGTTCGAAACGATACTGATTAATTTAATACATTTTTTTTCTTCTCTTTTTTGACTTTTAACACAATTTTCATAATATTTATCTAAAAATATGAAAATATATTGAAAAATATTATTTTAGCATTTTATTTAAGTTAACTTTTATCAAAACTTGTGTTTTGAATTAAAAAACTAAACAGTACTGTTCTAAAAATTCAAAATCAATAAAATTGTTGAAAACCAAAAATTGATAAAAATGCATATAAACATCATATTATTTTTAATTCTATTGGAGACGTAATATAATTCTATTTTAGACAAAGAAAAACAGTTAAAAAATTGAGATTTTTGAGAGATTTAAAATGTTTTCTATGCATTTATCGTTACTTTTCAAGCTATCAAAATCTTAGCCCTAATTATTAATATTTATACACTACTATACGGTGATCATACCGTAGTATAGATCAATAAGAACATGAACCGATCGTCTACACACTTATAGCCCAAAACCGTGACTAGAGTGTTAATTGTTATTACATTTATCGCTATGGGGGAAAAAAAAGTCTCTTTCTAATAATACTTACTAACGCTTTAGTAAAGTTTTTACTACTAAATTAATATTTGCGTATAAACGTATATATTTTTCGCTTTTATATTAGTATTTGATCTTGTATAATTTGTTACGTTACACGCGCTGAGTGACAAATCATTAAGTGATTAAAATTGTTAATTTAATGCGGTGTACTGTAATATAGAAAACGTGCGGGTGTCCTTGAAAAATTGTGTTTCTGTAAACATGTTGGTCGTAATATACGATACCAAATATCCTGCGCGCTAATTGTTTCCAAGGATTTTGTGCGGAACGGACGAAGAAAAAAACTCAAATTATGAAAGCGAAAGAACAATAGTGTATAATCGGCGGTAAAAATACACCATTTATTAACCATTTTTTTATTTTCGACTGGTTTTAATGTCATTATCGGATGTATTATAAAGTGTTTAAGCCCCGGTGACAAAATTAAAACGAAAAAAACCTGTTTCGTTCGATCTAGTCTAGACCGAACGCGGTCACGACATGGTACTGCAAAAGGAGTTGACAAAAATATGGTTATTATTATTATTGTTATTATTTTTTAATATACTTGATTTGTTAGGTATATAGTTAATATTGAAATATTGTCATTTCGGTTACTGATAAATCTCGGATTAAAGAACATTTTGCCTTGTATTTTATAATGTAAGCCGTTATTTAAATATTTTATTCCCATTCGATTCCTCGATCAAGTTCTATGCCTGAAAAACATCTGCAACCTGGACAACGTCACTAAGCATTAAATCGTAGATAATCGCGTTTAGCATAGTTTACGTACTATTTCATAAGGCAGTAAAAATAATATATATTTATATTTTTACTAATAAATGTGCACAACGTTACGTGCATGAGACATCTCTTTAAATTGTACTGAACTTATTTTGAATACCTAACTTTGATGTAGAAAAAAAATACTGTACAATATATTTTTGAGTATATAGTTTAAGTACATCTATTATCCTATAAAACATACATGATATGAAAAACGTAAATATCCGATAACGTTGAGTAATGTGCACGTATGTGGTGATTTTACACAGGATTTAAAAAAAAATGGAAAATTAGAAAGTGACGTTTAAAAAATAACGTTAGATCACTTACTCGTGAATAATTTGATTTGATACAATAAAACAAGTATTGAAAGGACTGAATAATAGTATAAGCCTATATACGTTCGTCTTAAAAATTCTATATGGTATTAAATATTTATAATTATAATTTTTTTTTTTTTTTTTTTTTTTTTTTTTTAAGGAATAAAAACACAACTTTCTAATTAATTATATGAGTATATTATAAACTGAAAAAGTTTGAATTATAACCGTACCATTAATGTGTAAGTGACTAAGGAAGTGACTATTGTTGAAGGAGCGTACATTAACAATAATAATAATAATAATACATAATAATAATGGTATTTACAAAACAAACTGTGTGTATATTACTGCGTTGTTTATTTTATTGCATTATACGGATGATGCACTCAACTGCAGTGCCCGAACTGCACGAACTGTACTACAATTCTTGCGGAGTGCAGCCAACTGCTTGAGGTCGACTAATACAATAATACGTCTGGGTCGACTAACTTATTTAATGTTTGTTACTATGTACAATTTCAACATATCACTCGTGATAATATAATATAAACCTTTACAAATAAACGATTTATGCCAGGGGTAGCGAAACTTGTCTGTGTAAAAAAATATTTGAATTTTTACCGAAAAAGGCGTGTCAGTGTGATCATCAGTAATTATTCTTTATTTTTTTTTTCGTTTACAAGGTGTAATATAATCATGAATTATATTTAAATCAACGTGTCAGTGAAATTACGCATGAGCTTACATAAAGATTCACCATCGCTGCGTTTAACAACATATCAAGATGGATCATTATATATATTATGCACTTGCGGAGCAATACGGTACGTAATTACCGAATACATATAATAAAATAGTGTAAGCTATTTCTGTTGACCGTTTTCTACAGGTTAAACGTTGTTTTATCAGATTTAAACGATTTAAATAGAAAAAAATGTACATTTTATGTATATAATTACTTAAATGTCTAACCAACCGCCATTTTTTTTCTTCCGAGCATGTGCGTGTGTGTACGTTAGTATGTTTGTATATGCACGTGTGTATGTGTGTTTGTGTGTGTACGTATATTTGCACTTGTATTTGTGTGTGTACGTGTGTTATTATTGCTGGCCACCGTTGTAGCCAGACACCCACTGTCATAAGGAATGATAGTCGTGAAGCAGCGAAGGGTCAGCGGGATGACCGGAGGCGATCTGTTGTAAGTGATGGTGGTGGTCACCGTTGCCAATGCCGCCAGTGGTGATCAAGGGGCGACTGCCGATGGGCGATCCGAATCCACCGACTACGCCGCCGCTGCTGATGAGCTGGGACTGATGATGGTATGCCGCTGCCGCGGCCGCCGAATTGGCCATCATTGACACACCGCCACCGCCACTGCCACCGCCGCCGCCGCCGCCGGACATGGACGGTTTGATTTCTCCTGTGCCACCGAACATCATCTCGTGGTTGGACAAATGGTCCTGAAAGAGCAAATACGAGAATGTTAATCTGACAACGATACACGAGTTTAGCGACAAATAGTATTCAAAAGTTTGTGTACTAATATATTATTATTTTCCATTTACGTTGCACGTATGTAATTAAAGTATAGTTTACGTACGACATTCACTTTTTTGGGAGCAATACACTTTTTTCTTCTATTTAATACATTTAAATATAGTCGAGTAACGATTTAAGTATAAAAGTCGTTGCATGAACAAAATCTAAAACAGTTTATACGACCGATTTCTATGTAACCGTCTTTAGTCGCATTAATTCAGAATATTGATTTAATAATGGTTCTACGTGAATTCAAAACGAGAAGAACATCCCTACTTTATTTATTTTTCTTGTGGATAAGAATATCTTAAGATTACCTTGGTGAAACGTCAGTCATATGGTAAACAGTTAGTAATCGTAATTAATTTCAAAACACAATTCGTTGGGTGATCAAGGTTACATAAACCCCTTCGATTTCTTAATTTCCCCTGAATCAATAGTTCTGACGTCACACTTAATAATTTATCATTAGTGATATTTGAGATAAGAAAATATTTTAGTGTAATGAAAAATAAATTTCAGTAGCCAAAGCTTTTGAATTGAATGCAATAATATTTATCGAAAAATAAAAATCATGCAAAAATAATGGTCACTCTAATATACAATAACTGTTGGTTATTTTATGACAAGATTGCAATAAACTAAAAAAATGTGTTACTACGCGTGATGCAACATTTAATTTATGATGGTTAAAAACACAAAGAATATTTCATTGAATATACGATAGTGTTATTTGAGAACTAAAGTTATTTATAGAATTAGTGTCCTACACGCATTGTATTCTTATTTTACTTTGCTTGCTTTGAATAACAGAAATAAAAAAAAATCGGAAATATTTCATCATGGATAACTGAATAAGTGCATTACATTAAACGAAAAAAGCCAATACTTGAACGTATATAAATATATGAGTGTGTGTGTGTGTGTGTGTGTGTATATATATACAAACGACTGATGTTTAACACAAAACTCTTTTGAAATCGAATTGACCTTTAATAATGATTACGCCAGACGACAGATAAATACATTAGAATTTTGGCTTGGTTTTAAGCATGACTTCCAGTAGATATATATATTAATTACATTTCCTCAAAATAGAAAATATTTAAACCAGTTACTTAGCACTCAGTACTTGTACTAAGTACATGAACAATAAAAATATTGTTTCAACAATTAAGTCTAATGTGCGCAAAACTGTATGGACAAATTAACGAAAAAATATTCAACATTCCTATATGTACGTGTATAAGCGTTTATATTTCTCTTGCATTTTTTATTATTATTGTTATTATTATTTTTTTTTTTTTTTATTTTAGTTGACGGTCTGAACAGGCACACAAGTGCGTTCGTGTATCTGGCGTGTGTTTGAGTGTATGTGTAAATAGATTGCAATCGTGAAACTTTATGATTCGCTTCGGCTGAGTTGGGAATGTCTTTTATACACGCGGCCAACACAGGGTTTTGATTGTTCACTGAATATACATATACACGCATGAACATATATCGTATTGCCTATAGGCCACACGGCCGATTTGTATTGGCAATCGTTCAAACCGATATTTGCCAAAAGGAAACAGCTGCACTACGTCCAACAGAAGATAGTTTCCGGTCACATTTTCATTTTTTTTTTTTTACCTATTATTATCATTGCGATCATGACGGCCGTTCTTATTATATATTTATATTGAAATTTTTTTGGTTTTTTTTTACATACACGCATTGCATCGTGGAAAAATAATAATTGACCCAGATGAAATGACGTAGAACCTAAAAATTTTTGTTATACGTTTTCACAGTATACAATAGTTATATTTATTCGCTGTACAAAGCCTGTGACGGAACTCAATGAGATTTCGGACTAAAAAAAGTTTCAGTACTGTCAAGGATCTGTTTAGACAGGTTATATCTACGGATACATAATGAAAACTAGATTGCAATAACTTGTGATACAGATTGAAAGTTCATACATCGAATAAAGCCCATTGTCTCTTAAATATATGCGACCAGTATGACTGTGGTGTACTGGTAAAGTTCGAAAGTTGTTATCAATACAATAAAATGTATCTTGGTGTATGTCAACAGTCTAACATTCAAAATTATTTCCAATTTTTAGCTCCGTTTGAACACAGAAGTAGAATGTAGAATAAAATCTAGTTTATTGTATAATACTGTGGGTTTCACTGTACACAAGTATATGTATGTTTATCGTATTAAAATTAATATATTGTACTATTTCTTGATCATCGTTTACCTGACTGGTGATCATGGAGTGCCCGAACGATATCGCGCTGGGCTTGTGCAGTAGATGTATGTGTGATTTGATGTCACCGTCGATCGATTCGGACGAACTGGAGTCCAAATTTGACGGGGGACCGACCATCTTCTCGCATCCATCACCCATACCTGTGGGGCTCCGACTACCAGACATTCTGTAATGAGAGGAAAAAATCAGGATTAATCGAAACGTATAATATTGACTTTCGAGCTTTAACGCTGCTATGCAGTCACCGCGATATGGTACATGTATTATGGGAATAATAGTTTTTCGAAACTTCAGTGGGATCGACTGATGAGCTGCATTTTTGGAAATACCGTTGAATTACCGATAACCGGTCACTATACGAGACACTTAATACGAGTATACATACGTACTGTATAATTCAGCGGTTCCCAAACTGTCTTCCACAAAGCCCTTAGGACTTTGTTCGTTTTATTATAAAAAATGTAATAATAAAAAAGTTATTAATCATGACAATTAATTTTTTATTATTTTTTATTTATTATTTGTTTTATTAATCGTTATACAATGAACACAGATATTTTAAGAAGATTCTGTCAAAGCAGATACAATTCACCTATAGAACTGTACATACAATATTAAAATCCCAATACAAAAATATAATTGTTGAATTGTAGGTTATGTTGTAGGTTGTAATTGTACGCATTCCCATTCCAGGTATTATCCGGCTAGGTATATTGCATTTAAATGTAAGTGATTTAACTTAAATATAGTATATTTAAATATACATTTTATCATTTTGAGTTTACTCATATATATAGGGCCGTATTGACGCATAGGCACTATAGGCACTCAGGACCTACGAATATTTTGGGCTTACGAAAATAGATGATTATGAATTTTTTGTATTATTTTGTTTTTTTTTTTTATTATCAATATAGTTTTATATATCTAATCAGTACGAATGTACACGTTTGTACAAGTATAATATTATATATAAGAATTTACTGGCAAAAATAATTATATTACTCGTATATAGTTTTCTTAATGTTTTCATTATCGTAATTCGTATATCAACTATTGAGCAAAATTAATTATCTTCAGAATTATACAAAATGGTATGAAAAATTTTGGTTTTTTATGGTATTTGAAAATTCAATTTTATAATGAAATTAATTGTTTTTAATTTGTTAAAACTGTTATCATATAAAAAAATAAATGTTATAATATAAATGTTAAAATTTGATTTTTATATTGTAAATATTTTTGTTTTTAAAAGCTTAACACAGATTCAACACTTCCTTTCTCTGGTTTCTTAACCATTTAAATACTGGAAACTGCAAGACCGTATTAACACTAAAATCACTGTGTCTTGGGGCCTACGATAATGTTAATCCGGGCCTGTCTATTTACATAACATGAGAAAAATGCTTCGTAGAACACGGACAAATAAAACTTAATATTAAATATTTCTTGGAGCTCCACGAGAAAATACTGCTTAAAAAGAGGCTCCGTGGATAAAAATGTTTGGGAATCGCTGGTATAATTACACGCCAACGTATGTTCATTATTACTTGTGAGTTTCGTTAGCAATAAAACCAGTTTATTTCAACGTTTATATGTTTAAGCTAGCCATTCATTGTTAATTTTCATAATTCTTTAATGGCGAATAACGTGATGCGTGTATCCGCAAACAACCAGTATACGCATATTATTTTTTATATTATTATAATATACCCGTTTGTTATTGATAATAAAAATAACGTTATATACTGATGTAGTGAAATATAAAAGAACTGAAACAAATCGAAATAAACGTTTAGGTGTACAGTTTAAAACAAGAAACTAATATTATATATTAGGAAGAACAGCAAACATTATGGTTATGACGACTATTAAGCCTTAAAGTAAAATGCTACGAGTATATAGTTTATAACTGCGCAATACGGAAATCGGTTGTATACGATAAAGATAATGTAATACAGAAAGTTACAATGCTTTTGTTAGTGTCGATTTTTTTAAATGCAATACTTGCGTATACTTATTATGAGCAGGCTTATGGTTAGCAGGCTTAACAGCAGATAATGTTGTTTTCTTAAAAAATAACGTGTATAAGGTGTCGATGTGTTTATGGAACTTATCAAAATTATTGGTAGATATAAACAATAAGGTATACCTGATAATATTCGTTATAAAATTGTACCCACATAGGTTTTTATCTATAAGTATAGATAAAATATATTATTATTAATTTTAAATGAATCTTGATATGAATCACTAAATTTTTTATTCCACAGTTGTTGGGAACACTTTTCCGGTTGTATAAAAATATGTGTAAAACACTGATATTAATGAAAAACGTTTCTTTGGATTTGACCACGTCATGTCGTGTTAAAATAATCCATATATTTAGCTAATTATACTTAAGTCTAGTGTAGTTACATTGAAACAAACATTAAACTATGTTGCAAAAATACGATTTTCAGATTTGATGAGAGTAAAACTAAACCGCACAGTGTAACATAACACTGCAGCGCGCGAGTACATCTAGAACGAAGTGTAATTTTAGATATTCCCACGTATGTGCGCAGTGGTGGGTAAACATTTTATTGCAAACAGATTGATCGACGCGTAACTTTTGGTATTCTTTTAACAAAACTTTAAGTAAATTTGAAATAATTTTAAGTAAAGCGTTATTTTCTAATACAATGTGGGTCACGGGTATGTGAATCTCGTGACGGAAGAGGGTGTTTATAATGATAAGAGTATGGGATTTAAAATATGTTTAAGTAGTTACAAACGAATATTTCGACGACTTTTGACGTAAGAGATGTTCGAAATTTAAACGGGATACACTTCCAAGAGGAAGGGTAAGTTAAAAATTATACTAATTTATCTAACACGGTGATTCTCAATCCCTAGTAATCCAATACCGCGTATAAGTTTTGTAAATTTCCTTCGTATACCGCTTGAAATAAAATCCTTTTAAAACGAATTTATATTAAAATTATAATCTCAATTCGAAACGGAGAAAATCGACGAGTCGTTTACGCGTGAATAATAGTACCTAATATTATGGCAAGTGCGAGAAAACCTCTCCTGCAACACACGACGCCGCTCACCGATGGTTTGGCGCAATAATTATTATTAATAAAACACGCCCTTGCCCCTCGAACAACGTACGCGGCGCGTGGAGTATTATTATTGTAACGCGCGGAGCCGAAAACGGCTTGGCCGTGCGCTTAATAATAATACAATAATAACGGTGCGTTTAATGGTAAACGTATAAACTTGTACTTGTATGGTACGTATAAACTTCTTGTAATACTCACGAGGCGGAAACGACGACGGGGTGATAACAAAATTAATTCGATCATTATAACGTGTATTGTGCGCGATATGTTAACGCAGAACGAAGCATAGACCATGACGTGAGCACGGCAAGCACGAGAAGGGTTTGCCGACGTTTCGCGATTCTGGGTGGTAGTTTTTTCCTGGTGGGCGAGGGGGGGGGAGGGCGGGGGAGAATCGACCGCGGACGATGATTCGATCGGAAACGTTTCCCTTCGGTGCACGTCATTAGCCACCTCCCCCGCAGCCGACCATCAACACATCGTGCACAAATGTACGAGACAATAAATGTAATACGTTTATGTGTGTATATTATTTTAGCGCAGACGCGTGTGCGGTATTAGCTCGTCTTGGTCGTATGGTTTTTCGTCATCGTCCGGTGTCGCGTTTCCCTTTACTTCTCTCGCGCAACACCGGTCGCGCTCTAGTAAATACATACAATGTGTATATATTCTCTCGCCAATACAATATACGCAACATCGCAAGTCCCGGGAGGCCTTGTTCCCCCCCCCCACCCGCCCGCCATCCGCTTATTCCCGTCATACGCACTTGTAGTTATACGCGCGTGCACACGTTGAAGACTTTATGTGGATTTATTGCGCGCGCGCACACACACACATATATACATCGCCTACACACACACACACACGCGCGCGCGCGCGCGCACAAATTGATATAGTACAATGCACGTGAATACAATACAAGGTACATCGCGCAGTTGAAGGTGAGGAGAATTGTGCAAGAGGTACGCGAAAAAAAAAAAAAATGAATGTAATTGCAACTGATGGGTCGAGTGACAATAGCGTGTTCGAGAAAACTTTTAGACGGGTCATCTGTTACTTGTTTAAGAATTCGCAGATAAACATCCGCCAACTTTTTAAAAAGTGTTTAATTCTAAAATCATAATACATATATTATATACTGTAGAAAACATGAGAACCGAATATTTGTCGTTTTATTGTATTTCATCATGTTGTGCGACAGTAACAGGCGAATAAGTAAATGCTTGGATTTAACCATAGGCGTTTCTACGGGGGAGGCAGGGTGGGCACCGGCCTCCCCAGCGACGTTCTTGGCCTCTTGGCTTATAATGGTGAAACCACGGATGTATAGTATCTATATCCGTGGCTGAAGCAGTAACAGTAGGTAATTTTAAGTAGAAGGTAAATTTAAATTTTAAATTTATTGAATTTTATTATTTGTAATATTTTAATAAATAACTGTTTATTGTGTTATTGTGTAATAACTGTAGGTAATAAGATATGTAGAAAAGGTTCATGTATACTTGATAAAATATTTATAAAAAATAACTGAGTAGTGCAATAGTTAATAGGCCTTATTTATAAGTTCATAGTTGTAATAGCATAGGAAACCAATTTTAAGATCAGAAAAATCTTTGATTTGGCGGGGCGAAAAAATTCTAGCTGCTAATATACTTTCCATACAACAAAAATAAGTCAAAATATAGATATAGATTATAGATTGCTGTAGTAAGTAAAAAAAAATTTAAATTTTATAACTGGCCTCCCCAGCCATGGAGGTCTGGACACGTCTATGGATTTAACAGAAAATTAGGAACAAGTCAGTGTGACAAACGAGTTAAGAGTATAGACGAATAGTCGGTTCTGGATTGCGGCAAACGGTAAGATTCAGAAGGTTGAGAATAAAATATATTTTACCGTTTCATATTTTTATAGATTTTAATAAGTGTGTGATTGTGTTTGCAAGTATTCGAAAGATATACGTATTTGATAACACTTTGAATACCAATTGATTGTACCTGAAGTCGGAATAACCTGGTATAAGAAGTATAGTGTAAGCACAGGGAGGCTGGACATT